GAAGATATCATTACAAAATGAACAAATCTGAGAGAGATCCACATGTAGTACCTATATATGGAATATCAAAGCAATTGAACTTGGGGTTTTTAACAAGAAGTCGAAAATATCACTTTTTACTAAAAATGACAAAAATATTCACCAAAATTAGAGAATTGAAGATATCGTCATGAAATGAACAAATCTGAGAAAGGTCTACCCAAGGTACATATACACCAAGTATCAAAGCATTCAGGCTTGTAGTTTTCAAGAAGAAGTCGAATAAGTAAAACATTGACACGGACGACAACGGACAATCACTCATATGATAAGCTCCGCTCGACAAAGTCGACCGTGGAGCTAAAAAAGTAATTGTCTTGGGAGTATTGCCAAGCTAACAACGTGTAAAGTTAATAGCCCTGTGGTAATATTAGATTAATAAATAACCTACTTATTTTACTACTACTACGTTTCTATATGCAAATCTAGTACAAGTATTGCCAAAAAGACTGCATATAAAGTCCACTAGATCAAGATAAATTATTCGGGCACATAATTAAATTTTTGTCCGACTATTTTAAAGTATCTATTAAGCTTTGGCAACAGATTTCATGTAAACAAACTATACATGTATGTGTAAATGCTACATGGAACCCATAATACTACATGTAAGCATGATACATGGTTTAGATCTAGAAATTTGATTACAAGAAAGAATGGAATGGCAATATTGCAGTATGAGACACTGCTATATTGCTCACAATGCAGCCATTTTGTGTGATGTAGCTATTTTGTTAGTAAAACAGCGTCCCATACCGCAATATAATATTGCTGTTCCATTCTTTATTGTACTCACAGTAAAATACTAGACTGTCGTTTATGCAGTTCCCAATAGACTCAATACAGTATACAGGTCAAATAACTTGCTTCACGGATCACCCGACTTGTATTACACATACTCCAGTAACTTTTTGTATTAATTTAACAAAGTTCAAGCAGCACTTAGTCAACACTGTCTGACTACAAACATATTACTTTCACAACCCTCAATTTTATATATTTTCTCCTAACAGACAAACATTACAATACTAATAAATTTAAAACCTAATATGTTAAACTTCTTCGTACCAAGTACATTTACTGTTAAAATTACAGTGCAGATGTTATAGATTTATCCAATTTTAATGAATATTTCGGATAATATATATAGAAATTGCTTACAACCTTTGATCAAAAACTTCTGAATAATGACAAACAATGCTTACAATATTTTCTTTATTAAAAAAGCACATAAATCATAAATTTCATTTATTGTATGTTGTATTATTAAATTAGGACTTATTTAAACAATAGACTTGCATTGACAAAAGAGCATGCACCACAAATAAAGCAAATACAACAATAAGCAATCCGGAGGTACTTTTATTTTAGATAACCAATTAACATATTTTTAGGTTTTCACTTTATTGCGGTAGTGTGCAACTTTAAAGGAATTCTGCATGGCTTCCTGTTGTGAATTGCAGACATGCCATCACGAGCCAAGACTTTCAGGATATATTACATCATAATTTCACAACCTTTGAACTTGCGTTTGGTCACTTTTGAACTCAAATTTTGGTCAGATTGCTGGGAAAGACTTTCCTAATTTTTTCCTTCAAAAATTGTTTAGAGTAACTTCCTACAGTACAGTTTGTGAGTAATTCAATATTTACGTTTTGGAAATCATCATCATCATCATCATCATACACTGCACATGTACAGAGCCAGCTTAGAGTAGTAAATATCATACAGAATTTGAGATTAAAATTCTCGTACAATATTTAATCTTCAAATAAAAAACACTAGATACATATAACAAATTAGCCTCATTTACAGCAGATTCCTCCTAAGCTTACCACCATCTGGCACATTTAAATTTTGTAAAAAATAAAATGCTTGTGATACTGATGAACATAAACAAAACATAAATATGTTTGTTGGGGCCATAGTACTACCGGTAAGAAGAATATAACTTGGCAACTGATACTTGATTCTAAATAATTTGTTTACATTTGCCTGTCGCACAATTTTTTTTTTTATTTATAAGTAATTGATACAAATACTTTTGTGTCAGTTGGCTAAGTGGTATTGATTCCCACTACTGTATTATGTTCTTTAATAAGTGCTTTATTCAATAACTAATTTACACGAACAAATGGACAAACATGATCATTATTTCAATGCTAAAATCATGCTCTGTATGAGAATTAGACGTCTCCAACTTATTGAATGTGCATGGAATTTAATAAACAACAAATCCACTATTCATCTTCAGTCAACATAACAAAAGCGACTTTGTTGAACCATATTGACTATAGGATATACTGAATGCTCTAAGCAATATACTCAATGATATAAGCAAGTCCTTTATTACCCCCCTTATGTTGGATTTATGTAACCATTGATGTACAGTGGTTGGCTGGCTAGGTATTGCACAATACATTAGTCAGTTACAGAGAAATTAATGTGCACTGCACGCTTTCTTGTGAATAATAACTCGCATTGTCATCGTGGGAAAACCAACTGGTAGAATAAGCTAATAGTCAGATAAAAGGTCTGTATTACACACTACACGCTCTTCGACTCAACCACAACAGTATTTTACTTGTATGCGTTCTGAGTGAAGTCATCAAGAGAACATGGGTTTAGGATTTATTTCTCAGTACTACAAATACAATTGAGTGACACTTTGCAACATTACACTTGTGCTTTACATCGTGGGAAAAAAAAATTATACACGCAAAAGGCATTTGCATTGGACTAACAAACTTTGAAAACTCAATTCATACCATGTTTCAGCGGCTGCATATACTGTAAAGGGGGTAATTATTCACTGGGTTTTAATTTAGCTTATTTCGCTGACTGGAAAAATGCGCTAAATTAAAACACAGTGAATATGTAAAATTTAGCATAGAACACATTATCTAAATGATAAAACCGTGAATTTAAAACCCACTGAATATGCCTGAAATGGTAAATCAGTGAAATTTAAACCCAGTGAAAATTAGTCATTTTACAGTAATAGAGCATTTGCTCTATTAGTAGCACATGTGCTTGAATGGTCAAACAGAAGT